GAAAAGATCATAGTGGAAGTCGTAGATGACATTCTCCATTGCCCTTCGGGATGCAGTAACAGTTCCGTCAGGACGACGAATGAATGAATGCTTGTTATCGTATCTTCATGACTTCCTTATAGAATGCTGAAACCTGGATGTGGAGTTGTGGTAGAACTCAAGAAGAAGGCTTGTGTCTTGAGTAGCAACCGTGAACAGAGGAGTCCCGCTGCGTGCTACCATTTCACCCAAACTTTTTAGTGCAGCTCTTGAGAACATCATGCGTTATTCGATATGGGAAAACTTGGGAGTGAGGGCCAACGGCCGCTACTTATAAACTCGGCTTTGTAGACGATCACACAATATCTTGTTTGAACCGAACATCGAGCACGCGGACCGAATGCATGCCGAAACTGACGACGCTCTTGGAGAGATCGGTATAGGGCTGAGCTTGACGGAGACGATGTTTATGAAAAACGGAATGAATCTGATGTTCAACGATTATCTTTATAAGCTCTTGTTCCGAGTATCTGGGCGGAGAAGTCGACATGAAGAACGACCTAGCTCTGGAGCTGAGCAGAAACAGAGGGCCGCAAGGGGAGCATCCAAGAATATTGAAGGAATAGTGAAGAAGACAAAGAACATCCGGCTTCCCGCACTTTTCCGACATGCTGTCCTTCCTGCTTCGACGTACGCTTCGGAGAATTGGACTCTACGAAAGCTGAATAAACATGCTGGTCAGCTCATTCATCACGCTGTGAAAAGGACGATGCTCGGGATTCCTCTATATACGGCAATGCAAAAAGGAATTCGGAGTTCCAAGCCCTGTCAAACAATAAAGATCAGGCGCCGTCGCTTAGTCCAAGGAGTAAAAATTCAGATGGACCAGACACATCAATTCTGTGGTGATTGGAACAGGGAGGTTAATAGCTGTTCCTTCAGGACGTCAAACGGACTCTAGATCGTAGTCGAAGAGTCAAACTGTCAAATGGTAGCAACCTCTTCACGGCGGTTTTGAGCGAAAGGAATGTTGCTCGAGTGAGGAGGATCGACTAGACTACTCCGGCTCGTGATATAGACGATCGGAGACGTTACTGGAGTCCGCTTGAAGAAATTGTTGATCAGCGGGTTGGCAGGCGATGCAGGTGATGCACCTGCATCGCCTGCATCACCTGCCAACCCGTTGATCACCTGCAACTTGATCGGAAATTTTGTGATAAAAAATGTATTATTCGTTCTGAAAAAAGGACCGCCGGAGCGCATGAGCCGCTCTTCAACCTCATCGCAGGAAGGAGGCGATCAGATGTAAGCCGTGCGGTCCGACCGTTAGAAAGAAGACGTACCTACCTTATGAGCGAAGAGAAGCTTGCTCAACTGCCTTCCAAGCAGCGTGCCAGAGCGAATGAATCGGAATGATCACCTAAAATTTAAAACATCAAAATGATAATCATCCACGTTGGGTAAGGATATGTATAAGTTTCGAGACAATAGATATCAAATGGATGGATGGTAAATGTACAAATGG